CTGAATAAGTAATAAAATAAAGAAGTAAAACTAATATTTGTTATCACGTAAATAAGCTTTTATAAAACATGATAATTACCATTTATGGGTTAAATAAAAGTATTAATCCTATAGTTTATGAGATATGTATGTCTATTACAAATTATTGTCCATAAATGGTGTTATTATTCAGTAAAAGAGATTATATATTATTGTAATATATTGTNCTGAATAAGTAATAAAATAAAGAAGTAAAACTAATATTTGTTATCACGTAAATAAGCTTTTATAAAACATGATAATTACCATTTATGGGTTAAATAAAAGTATTAATCCTATAGTTTATGAGATATGTATGTCTATTACAAATTATTGTCCATAAATGGTGTTATTATTCAGTAAAAGAGATTATATATTATTGTAATATATTGTTGTCTATTTTAATTATACAGTAGCGTTGCAGACAATAAAAATTTTCATACTGCAAGTGTTGAATATGACCAACCATACTTGTACTGTACCTTGATACAACCTGGGGATAAGGTAATTGTAAAATGCAAAATAATAAAGTTTCAATTATAAATTTATCATAAAAATCAATTATTGTAACATTACATTTTTGTTCTAGCCATTATCATGCCCACCAGCAATGCGATTAGTTACAGTTCAAAAACAGAGTAAAACAGTAAAATATTTATTGCGTGGTGATAGCGAAGGTGTTGTTGTTCTTTGGACAGTGCCAGAAGTAACAACTCAACCAGCTCAAATTTCTCAAAATGATCGCTCAACAGCTCTCTCTTTACCCCCAACAGTAAAACCAAGTCTTACGGCTGCTTGGAAAGAAATGAAACCACCACCAGTTGGTATATTAGATCAATTAGACAGTGGGGATGGACATGGAATAAAGTTAACAGCTAGTATATATTTACCACAACAAAGTCGTTTAGTTGTTGGTCGTGAAGATGGCAGTATTATCATTGTTCCTGCGACACAAACAGTTATGCTTCAATTACTTCATGGCAACCATCAACAATACGATGGTAAAGTACACTTTAGCATATTTTTATAAATACTAGTGTTTTAAACAGATCATTTGAAGTAAAATTTACTTACTTATACTTTCTTCTTTTTATTTAATTATATGATCTATAGATTGGCCTCCACACCAAATACTTTTAGGCCATTCTGGCCGGGTAAATTGTCTTTTATATCCACATGGAGCTGCACCACGTTATGATCGAGTACATCTTGTTTCTGGTTCTGTCGATTTTGCTGTCTGTTTGTGGGATCTTTATGCTGGTACACTAATTCATAGGTTTTGTGTCCACGCTGGTGAAATTACACAATTAATGGTACCACCTGATAACTGTAGTGTATGTATTTCTCTCTTTTGTAATTGTTATAATCAGTATCAGCTATACAGAATGTCCCGAGCATCATAACAGTACACGGGCGTGTATAATAAACCCGTATTTTTAGTAATGTGAAAATATATCAGAAAGGTATGATTTGGTTTGTCAACTTTACCTTTTTTTAGAGTGCATCCACGTTTCAGTGATGTAACCAAATATCTTGTGAGGTACTGAAAATATGAACAATCTTTTTGTATTATCAATACTTCATGAAATATTTTGTTACATTATTTAAGCATGGGCCGATTGTATGTTCCTACCGCTATCGAGCAATAATTAAGTTCAATTTAAGAAAATTCTACATTATTTTTGGATTTTTGTTGACATTTTGAGAAGTACATCGACTTATATTTCTCTCTGATATATTCCCAAAATATCAAAAATAAGAAAAACATATGAAATGCACAAGCTAGATGGGACAGCTGGTATAATGGTATTCATTCATTTTATGGATGAAGTTACTGTTGTTTTATTTTTATTTAATTATAATACCATTGTTTCTTATAGCCTAGAATACAAAAATGCGTTTGCAGTGTTGCATCAGACCACAGTGTGACTTTATTATCATTAGCGGAAAGAAAATGTGTTTGTCTTGCTTCTCGCCATCTATTTCCAGTTGTTACAATAAAGTGGAGGCCACTGGATGACTTTATGATAGTAGGATGTTCAGATGGGGCTGTATATGTATGGCAAATGGAGACTGGTCATTTAGATCGCGTATTACATGGTACATATGCATTTTATATGATATTAATTTTAACACATATATAGCTATGATATTATAAAGTCGAAACTAAAATTCATACAGGTATTATTGCTGAAGAAGTACTCTACGCTTGTGACGAAAATACAATGACAGCATCTGGTGGGTCAGCTACGGGAGGTGAATTAGGCTTAGCCAATCCTGCCGTGCATTTTTTTAGGTAAATGAAATCTTGCAACATGGATGGTGAGAACCTTGAGTGAATTTTTGGGAGAGGAACCTGGGAAATAACTTTTTAATTACATTCTTGATTCTGTTCCTTCAGAGGTTTAAGACACAGAAACCTATCTGCTATAAGGCATGCAACACAAAGAGGGCTACATCAATTACAGCAACTTCACGGTGGACATGGACCAGACCATGGAAATCAAATAAAAGCGAAAGGTGCACCTTTAATGATTCAAGGCTTCAGGAGTAATCCCAAAGATCCGGAAAGTCATATTTTATTTTTCGACATAGAAGCTTTAATAGGTATTAAATTTTTTACTATGTTTATAAAATATGTAATAGCAAATTACTTTTTCTATATGATAGTATTTTTTGTCCTTTTTATGTAGTACAATTACTTAGCGACGAGTATGGAGCAATGTCACCTGGTTCTTTGGAAGCACAAGGTTTAATTTCAGCATCGGAGTATCAAAAGGTTGCAGCCCTTACACAATCTGCCAGTCCGGATGCTCACAAGAAAATTGCAGGTGAAACTTATTTTTTTTCTTCTATAATAAACGTGAATATTACTACCAGAAATTAACCAATATGTATATTAATGAAAAACATTTACATTAACATGCCAATTTGTAGACTTTTTTGGTCGTGTCAAGGATAAAGCAGGCGACGTTGAACGAATTTTAAAGGAAAAGGATCGTCACGGTATCGTGCTCTGTTATTGTTTCATTTTATGAATCGTAGTTTGTATATATATTTTTATAGAGTGAAGATCTTACAAAGAATTGAGGATCATTAGTTTTTTCTTATATATCATTCCTTGCACAAATTCTTCAATATATGTCTGGATACACACATAAAGGTTCTTACATGATTGCATGTTCATAGTTGTAGGCAGGATTATGTCAGATATAATGTATTCAATATATATTTTGAATCTTGAAATAGTTTTGTTTTAGACAATGTTACACATTCGTTCAAGTAGTACTTATGTATTTTATCTCACTCGAATCTTCAATCCATATATCGTAGTTGAAAACGATTACAATTTATTGTATCTTTGTTATTTACTTGATAAATATGTTTCAGTGAAAGTTTGTATGGAGAAATAGTGCTTTGTACTCTTGATTCAAATTCGTATAATATTCAGATGTTGCATTACCGTTAATCCTTATTTCAATCATAGTTGTTAATTAGAAGATTTGTGTTCAAAATATTTTTAGATTATTATCTAAAGCCAATTTCTTTCTGTAGGTATATTGGCTAAAATGAAGGAGGGTGCAGAGAACGTTCACACTAAAATTCAGGCCAAGGTGGAAAGCGTTGGCCTCAAGCCGTCGACTCTCGACGGCAAAGGTTAGCCATGATTTAAGGAAAATGATAAAATCATTGTAGTTTCAGCTGTCAAAATTACATCGCATGAGTTCTTCTTGTTAGTTTAGATTCGAAGTTTCGTTCTTAATCTCTTCTTTTCTTTTCCATAAAAATGGTGTCTATTCCTTAATTTTGGCGTTTTCAGTACTAACTGTTGTTTCAGTGCACTTATGCGTTAGTTTATTGTATTAGTACTTATACATTTGACACAAATCACCAATTTGTTATTATAATAATAATATCTTTGTGTAAGATAACAATAATACACGATATGTTTGTAGAGTGAGTTATATAACTAGGACATTTCATGTATAGGAAGCTAGTCACGTTTTTTTAGAAAGGCATGTATTTATGAATTATCGTCATTTTTTATGTATTTATGAATTATAAATATATGAAAAATAACAATGTATGTATACATATATGCA